GGCCGGCCGCACCCATCAGACGCACTCCCGCGCCTGCGGTTTCACGGACGGCCATCGTGAAATGCGCCAGGAAGTGTACTTGAGCGTCTCCCACGTTCTCCTTGACCGGCTCATGACCACGGGTGCGTCTGGTGGTCTTCGCTCCTCTTTTGTGCCACCCTCAGATGTCCTTAGAGAGTCGCACATGAGCCTGGTGGCGCAGGCCTGTAATCCCAGCCCTCGGGAGGCTGAGACGGGGGTCGCTGTAGGAGCCAGCCTACGAGATTGAACCTGACCAAGAGGCGGTGAGAATGAAAAATCAAGAGACACAGAATCAGGTTAAATGCTGGGAGGCCTGAGGCTCTTCCTTTAACATAGAACCCCAAGTGCCTGGCACCGTGGCTTTATGCACTCAGACACGGGCACAAACAGAGGTCCACAGGACTCATCTGTCTCCCTACTGCCACGGTACTTGCCCAGATAAACAACAGGCTCTCAGGTGTTTCTACTCTTAGCTGCAGCGTGTGTGCTTGCTTGCCCACTTCTCAGTGCTCACCAAGGAGGCCAGTTAGGCCCCATTCTTCCCACCTGGTCTCCCGCATATTGCCCCAATTGAGGCCAGGCTGGGCGTGGGACCCTCTCTGGATAAATAAACAGTCCCACTTGAAAACAACAGAAGGCATTGGGGGTTTGAGGACTGCAGTGCTTATCAGTTAAAACAGCTGTGCTTGGAAAACTGTGGTCTGTCTTGTTAGGGAAACAACCCCTAGTAACTGCAGGAACCTCATGCCCTTATCCCACCCATTAGCCTGAGCTAAAGAAAAACGGGTGCTCTGCCCAGTACTGCCGGTGGGGTCCAGCACAGCCACATATTTTCCTGCCCTTGGGGGCCAGGGAGCCCTGCACCCCTTTGAAGCAGTGTGATTAGAACCTCTCCAGGTAGCTGAGGGCTCCCCGAGGACCTCACAGTGAGGAGGTGGACAGTGACAGCACCACAAATGTGACATGCAGTGATTACAGCTGTGCTCCTCTAACAGACATTAGCCACACTCAGGATGACTCACACTGCTGCGAGTTACTGAACAGGTCATGGTAAGCAAGTCTATTGGCATCAATTCTGCAACAAATCTGTGTGTGCGCGCAGTTCGGAGAATGGAACCCGGAACCCAAGACCTCACGCACCCTAGGAAAGTGCTCTTTTTTACCACTAAGCTAACTCCTCAGCCCTAAACCCTCCTTTAAAAAGCTAGTGTTAAATGCAAGGCAAACATTCTATACACAGTATTTTCTGTTATAACTAAGCAAACTTTTAAATCTCTGTTTAAGCACCACTTCAGATGTAATGGTTTCTACTTTGCATCTTATTTGCAAAGCCTGTTCTACAATTGGAAAGGCTTAGGCCAGATAAATAAAAATGCAACCTAATTTTCAGACTGACAGATGAAGTCTGAGAATTTGTTTCCAGGGACCCTTACGGATATAGTTTGAAATGATTTCTCTAAAAGTAACATTCTAGCTACCAGAATGCACCCTGAGCTTGAGGTAAGGGGTCAGAGATAAGGAGCTGCAGGTGGCTTCTGGCACCCAGGAGCACATAGTGTTCAAACAGGACTTGAGCATGCTTCTTTCTTGTCCATCTGCAATTTTGCTTTCCACTATCTTTCAATACAAATTTTATTGGAATCTCGTTTTTTCAAACATTCAGAACACCAAGGGGCACTGAAGAAATGCAAGGTGCTTTGGGTGCTGTTCTAAAATCAAGGAAGGTAGGGCCTGAGAATCCTGTCACAGGAGAGTCTTGGCAAGAGGGATTGGGCTGCAGGGCCTCACCCTGTCCCTGGCAAGGGACAGGGGGAACACAGGGTGTTGTCATTTGCTGGACTGAGATGATGTGGTTTTATTTTTATTTTTTTGTTCTCTTTGAATTTAATGAGTTTGCCTTAAAAGTTTAGGTAGCCATTTTACATTAAGGAATAAAAATCTTTTTAAAACAACAATACAAAGAGTGAAAGAATTTTAGCCAAATTCACACTTCTTTTTGCTATGCTTTTAACAGTTCATCTCATCCCATTTTACTGCAATGTGCAAATGCATTTGCAGCACTCATTGCAATCATGAAACTAAAGTTAAAGAAATACATATACTGTTAACAGTGGCCCTCAGAGGAAACTGATTTCCTGCTATTAAAAACTCTACAGTATACAGAAGCACTAATAATGCTGTTAATTAACCACATTCTCTTAAGAATCATCACCAAAGTTTTCTGGAAATAAGTCCTCATAAGAATTAAATATTTAAAAGGTGAAATTGTCCTTATTTTAATTTTAGCAAGGTCTTATTTTTTAATTGCTAAGAAATATTTTAATAGTTTTAAAGCAAAGACTAAGAGTCTAGATAGCTAAAATTGTACTCCTGAGTTCAAGTTTACAGATGTCTTTTGTAAGTAGTGCTCAATAAAATATCCTCCCTCCCCAGCCTCCTGCTCCAAATCTTGTGTTATTTCTTACAAAACTTTGGTCAAGAGTAGAAATATATCCAGGCAGATGTATAGCCATACAATAGCAAAAATGATAAAGCCCAACTAATTGGGTTTTAAAAATAGAAGGCAATTAAAATGTACCGAGGATTTAGCTCAGCAGTTCTGTGGCCTGAGTTCAATCCCCGGTACTAAAAAAAAAAAAAAAAAAAAAAAGCTTTCATGGGGTAATATTGAAACAGTCACCAAGGTTAGGAAAATACTAATATCAAAGTACAAATGACTACAATGTTAAAATAGACAAAAACTACTATACAAGAGCCTCTTCTAGAATTAAAAATAACACAACACATGAGTCAGGATGAGTTTCCTGTTCTCATGAATTTTAGTCTTCATATTTATAAGGATGGTTATGTTGACATCCAGTAGAGTTTCTTAGGACATCTGAGGAAATATCATTCCAACTTTGTAGGGTGGGTCTTCTCCAAGGAACCTCTTGATCCTGGTCACATAGTGGTCACTGTACAATTCAAAGTAGTGCAACTGCCATGATGTGCTGGGGCATGAAGACGTATCCAGTGTACAGAGCCATGCCCACAACAGAAACCAACATGGAATTGAACACCGTCCACTCCCAGGGCTCCAGCATGTAGAGCGCCGTGACCAGCAGGTACTGGTAATAGAACCAGGACATCTGCTTCCAGGCCCACGCCAGCCCCATCCACACCATACCCCTCCTGCAATGAAGCCGCAGGTCTGATGGTGTGGTTTTAAATCAGAGGGAAGGGAGGTGGAGGAGAAGGATGGGCAAAGTCACATGGGCACCCAAAGGGGAAGAACACAAAACTCTCAGCTTTGGGCTCACTCTATGGGCAGTCACTTAATTTTTCCCCGTTGTGCAGAACGTTGGTGAATTATGGCTGTGTTCAGGGGACCCAGTGCTGATTCCCTGGAGCTTGCAGTGGGGCAGACCAGCTGTTGTGGTCATGTCCTGTCCCCCAAATCCAAGGGTACAGTGCTAGGAGGTGGGGTTTTAAGAGATGACTAGGTCACAGGGGCCACAGGATTAGTGCCTTATACGAGAGCCTTGCAGGGGCCTTTTGTGTGTTCTGCCACCAGCAGACCCATAGAAGAGGCCCTCCCCAGACATGGAGGGTGCTGGCCTTGCCCTCGGACTTCCAACCTGCGCGAATGTGAAAATAAAATTCTGTTGTGTGTAAATTATCCAGAATAAAGCATTTTGTTATAGCACCTTAAATGGACTATGACACCAGGTCTCCAAATTGAAGAGCTACACAGCCTCCCCCCCGCCACCACCCAGGAATATTTGTGGCTGCAGTCTGATCACGACACAGTGGCCAGGTCGCATGGCGGCTTTACAACCTGTTGATCACATCTGCTCAGAGGGCAGCTTGGAGCTGGGTGACATACCACAGACTGTGGGACAGTACATGGTCTGAAATCTCCACTGAGCTTCAAGAGCGGCCCCAGAAGCGGGTGGGCAGAATGGTGGCCGCACAGACCAGCACCCGGACCCCGGGCTTAACCTGAGTCATGCAGACTACACGAGGCACTGCAGGGACGAGGGTCTTACATATTAACTGATTCAACGTTTAGCCAGAGAGTGAGGTGTGAGGTGAGGGAGGCATTCACACGGCTCAGTACCAGCACAAGTGGAGTCGGGGCAGGCTGCTGTGGCCCTGAGCTCCAGGCCTCACATCACAGCCCCAGCCCTTGTCCAGAGTGGGGTGGCCATTTTCCAGGGCTGGGGCAGCCGTAGACCACAGCGCATGGCAGTAAATACACCCCGGGTGTGGTCCAGCCCAGTTGAAGAGCACTTAGCCTCTTCCTTTGGTGACCTGTCAAGAACCTCTGGGGAAGACCTTGCAGCAGGGGCCCCAGAGAAATCTTGTCAAAAGTGGAAGCCGGGGCCCCTTCCTAACACCATCGCAGAGACCACCCTGGCAACACCATGCTCCCACCTCCAGCTCTTGGGGGAAAGCTGAACCCCTCGGGCGTGTTTTTCCAACGTTAGATACATCACCTGGTGCTAACGAGCACAGCAGATTTTTCTATTGTGAAGGCGTGGGACATGTTCCTGTCCATGTCAGGAGGGCATGAGCCTCTGAACACAGGAAGCTGTTCAGCCCGGGCTGTGTTCGTCAGGTGGAAGACGTGACACTGCTCTGGATGACATCCTAGATGTCCCCAAAAACCTCGTGGGCTAATAGGTGGGGCTTTTAGGAGGTGACTGGATCATGGAGTATGACACTTGTCAGTTTATAGCTAAATGTGCTTTTGGAAGGTGGAGCTTGGCTGGAGATGGGCCACATAGTTTTGGCCTGAAAGGGGCTATCTCCCTCCCAACTCCCCCTTTATGCTGTCTACTTCCTGTCTGTCATGCCAGCAGCAGTCCTGCTGCACCATGCCCCTTTGCTGTGCCGTCCTGCCTTGGAGCCAGTGACTGTAGACTGCAACGTGAGCTAAAATAAACCCCACTTCCCTAAGTGGTGAGTGTTGGGTATTTTGTCTCAGGGAGGAGGAAAGTAACTAAGACAGACACTCAGCCAGAGGCTGTTCAGCCTGGGCTGACGGTGTCAGGAGGAAGATGAGACACTGGCTGCTCCTGTTGTTTCCTACAACAGGCAGATGTCTAAGCCAGCCCAACAGTGGGGCTCAGCAAAACAGCTGGAAGCTGGCCCACTCACACGCGGCTCCCAGGCATCTCCCACCCATCTATACACCAGAGGAGGCACATCTGGCTGTCATCACTTCAGAATCATTTCAGGTGCTATTGTGCCCCACAGTGGCTCCTGCTGAAAGTCTACTAGGTGGGAAGCTTCAGTTCCTCCTCCCAGACTTGGGGCAGGCTCCCCAGCTCACCCCAGCAGCCATACTGAAGGCCAAGAGGCAGTGTGGCTGCTTATCAGGGCCAGGTCTCAGAATACCTGTGCTGTTGTCCCCCAGAGACAGACAGAGACAGAGACACACCAAAGGCTCCCCTTCCCTCTCATCAGGTGGTCAATTCTCCAGGGTCCTGAGAAAATCCTGGGCCCAGGCCTTCATGGAGACACCCCAGTGGAGCCCATGGGTGCTGGCTGCCTCTCCTTCCCTGCCTGACCGTCTCTGGCCCCAGTGTCCAGGGAACAGAAACACTCCATGTGCAAAGTCCTGACTCAGGCTCTACTTCTGGAATGGGGCTGGGGGATACAGGCCAAGACAAACATCCTACAGGTTGGTTGATGCTCACATGGAATCCACACTGAACGTCTGCCTGCTGTTAATTAAATGCTTCCTGCGACAGGAACCTCATCCCTTCCTGCAGTGGGGCCAGGGACAGAGTCCAGGCTCTGGCATGGGGTCAATCATATTGTGCTGGGCTTTAATGAGATAATATTTGAAAAGTGCCTAGCGTTTAGGAAATGCTTAGTCAGTGGGACTTCCTGCTTCTTCCACAATTTCTGGCCATGCAGACTGGTTACGAGTGCTGCCCTGGGTGAGGTGCTGGGCAGGGCTGATTCCTCCATAGAGACACACAGAACTGTCCCATACCTCTCTTATAAGACCGAACTGTGAGTGTGTGTAGAACAGCATAATCCCAGCTTCCCGAGTCCCGGCTTCTTTCCTGGGATTCACCCACGAACCCGGGAGATCCCGTCACATCCTCAAACAACTGCCATGGCTCCCAGGAGCTCCCTGTGGAAGGGGCTCCTCTCCCAAAGCCACACTTCAGAGGTCACCCACAGCTCTCCAAGGTCATGACCCAAAGGGGATCAGGGCTGTCCACGACCAATGGCTGTGCTGGGAAATGGGAAGGGCTGGTGGGCTCTCGGGGCTGAGAGCAGTCACCTCCACAGCCATGGCCTGTGGTGTGGGGGTGTCCCAAGGGAAATGAGTACACTGTGGAAGAAGGCAGGACAGGGACATCTTGCTGGCCCTGCTCTCCTGAGGTGCCACCCTGAATTCTACCTTCATGGGTGGTCTGACCCACTGTGGCTGTGGGGCACCATACCCCTTGGCCAACCTCTAATCAGGTACACACCTTGCAGGGATCATTCCCCAGAACACAATGCAAAGTTCCTTCATAGCCACTGTAATTCCGCAACAGGCCTAGATGCTAGAAACACGTGTTGAAGACAGATTTCACGGGGCCACGTCCATGCCATGCCCCAAAGATTACATTTCTAAACAGCATGGGCTGTAGTCCTTGTACGAAACATCAAATCCAGCTGAGGCACAACCGACCTTTAAAAGAGTACAGGGGTAGAAGGAAGCCATATGCCAATACACTGTCCAGCACAGGTGGGCTCCCTTGAGACCTGGTCTATTCTTGGGGTGCTCTGGCCACCACATGTGGTTGCCTATGGCCCAGATGCTCCTGACCTCTAAGCAGCAACCCTTCCCAGCCCTGTTGAGGTTAAGTCTGTCCAGCAATGGGGAAAGGACGCCTGTAGGTCTGAGTCTCAGGCTGTCACAAGAAACTGTGCCCTTGAACTCAGCCTTTGCTGAGGGTGCACACAGCTGATTCTTACCCTGGGCCTAGTGGTCCCTTTATTTCCAGACTTTGGGTGTGTTTGGTCTAGACCAGTAGCGAGTCTACTTCAGGCTTCAGCATGGTGGGGCTGCTCCTTGGAGAGACATGAACAATAGGCTACTTGTCCTTGTGCTGGGAGCCCATAGCTTAGAGGGGCTTCTAAAGTGCAGGTCAAGACCATAGGCTTGCTGTAGTGAGCTAAGTCTGCCCTGTGGTGAAGGCACCAAGTTGTGAGCCTTTGGTTGGCTTTGCTCACTGTGCTGTGTGGTGAAGCGCATTTCTACTGCGGTCACTGCCACAGTCTGGATGGAAAGGTGGGACGCAGCTACAGTGCTGGGTGGTGTGCACTGTCTCCGCGAGGGGTCCTGTGAGCACAGAGGGGCCGCACCAGGGGAGAAGCTGAGACAGGGTGAGCCGGGCCCAGGCTGAAGCAGGAGTTTGGCTTCTCCAGCCATAAAAGGTACAGGGTGGATCAAGTGCTCCCCTGAAATCCCTGGGTGCTCATGTTGAGGAAGATGCTGCTATGAAAGGGTGGGTGGATGGGAGTGCTGGGCTGCTAGGGCTCCACTCTTGGGGGCTCCTACAACCAGCCTGCATGTGGATGGCCCCTTGAGAGCCTGCTCATCTCGGAAATGTCAGTGCAGCAGGGGCCACGGCAGCAGTGGCAGAAGGGGAGGAAGGGCCTCCTTGGGCCTGTGCATACATATGGAACACTGATCAGGCGGAAGCTACAGATAGCCCTGGGAAGACACAGATGAAGGGCCTTTCAGTGCACTCAACTGTCCCTGCAAGCTGGAGGAATGCTCAGTGGCCCTTTATCTACAGAAACACCAACTTTAGGTTCTAAAAATGAATTATCGAACTTATGGGCTACAACCTGTCTGTCTCCAGTGGGTTTGGATTTCTCTGAACTCTTTGGCCCTAGCTCTGGTTTCCCCTCAAGCTCAAGCCACCTGTGGGGCCAGAGCCAGCCCCACACACCTGCCACACCTCCTGGTGCCCCACACCACTGGCTGGCCCCCAGGATGCTGGCAAGTGTGACCCATCACCTGCAGACCCGCCACTGTAGCCCCCAGGCCTTGGTCACTGCCAGCCATGTGTCTGCCGGGCTCGTCCTCCTCTGGACCTTCCTGCCTCCTCCTCCCCCAAGCCCAAGAGCACAGGGCTTCCTTTCCAAAATGCAAATCCAATCCGGT